TCGTCACTCTATTGGCATAGTACATGTCAGTGATGTTTGCTTAATAATACTACTTCCTATCAGAGTCATTCTTTAACTATCGATTTAATGTTTGATTAGGCATAGCAATTTAAGTGTGTCAGCTTTTGATGCATTTTTAATCATTCTCTCTCCTCCTCTAGGGTTTGTTGCTGTTGTTAATAAGTCGATGAGTTCTAAATTCTCACAACTGTTGGACTCAGCTCAAGAGTTCCTTCCTCTCCTCCCTTGGGGGGTGGAGTTTGAAAAGGACAAGTTCCTACGTCCAGACTTTACTTCACTTGATGTTGTGTCATTTGCCTCCAGTGGAATACCAGCTGGTATCAATATACCTAACTGTGAGTGGGTGTGGTTAGGGTGTGGTTATGATCCTTACGTTAGATGATGAGATAAGACAGAATGAAGGATTTAAGAATGTGTCTTTGGGTAATGTATTGTCAGCTGCCTCACAGGATAAGAGGGTTACATTCCTTACAACTGAGGATCAGGTGAGTTTAGAAATTGTGTATTTTGTTGTGGCATATCACATTGACATTTATTTCAATGATTATGATGAGCCTATGATGTTTGAGCGAAAGCAGCCACAGGATTAGCTTTGAGGCCAGCTACACTCACAGACACTAAACCACCCAAAAAAAGCTTTCCCCTTTATATCCATCCTATACCAACTTGCCCCCAAGCCTAAGGCTACGTTTACACAGCAATGGAAAACGCATCGTTTTTAAAGTATCCACTTAGAACACCGTTTTCGTTTCCATGTAGTTCTATCAAGATTCTATCTTGTTTTCATTCGTTTCTATGTAAACAGAAGCATAAAACAGGCACAAAACTATTACGGATTGCATCGTTTTCGTTGCTGTGTAAATGTGGCCTAAGCCTTTATCAGTACTGGGACACAAAGCTAAGGGCAGAAGGAGGGACTAAGAAAATTATTCAGTGTATTCACAGTTTTGGAGTTGTGTTACAGAGCAACTTTAGTATGACATAAAGGGAGAAAGTGGCATGCTCCAATCAATCTCTGTGTAAACAAACTCATTGTTAATTAATGAATATGATCACAGTGTGAATCACAGTGATTGAATATTTGTAACTGCAAATGTAAATTGCACTGTGTGCATTACATTATTAAGAGTAAATCAGCTCGTGTTGTTGTAATTGACAGCAATGAGACTAAGTACTACTTCACTATATTTAGTGATTAGTTACAAATACTTTTGAATGGTGAAGATTGCACTGATGAAAAACTCCTTCTAACTGACATTCACACCTTCAATTATTACACAACAACAAATATTGTTAAGAGTGTTGTGAAACCATGTTAACTTAATGAACTGTATGTATATAACTTCACATTTTGCTCATGTAGTATTATCATATAGTAACTTGACTTTCATTCACCATCATGTGGTAATCACTTATTTAAGTACACCGCTTGTTCTACATTCTTCTAGTTCAAATTTGGTTGTTATTATCAAGAGTAGATAATAATTAGAGGAGAGTGTCCTACTGGCAAAAGGGGTCTGCTTCATCACGGCGTAGAATTGAAGAGTCACATTCAGGTTATTTCTGTATTTTCATTGAGTTTGAGTAGTTATTGCT